AACAGCGGTTCAACTGGATGGTTATGACCATCTGGCAATACATCCTCCTCATCAGCAGGTCTCTGAAAACCCAGTTTCTGTAGATTATCCATTTTGTTGATTGTGGCATCAATTAGACTACGTAAAACGTTAGAGTTGCACTTAAAGTCTTGAGCTGCATTCAGTGCTTTTGGGTCAAGCTTAATGTGCTGCTTACATTGGATTTTTTGCCCAGAATTACGTGTGCCAAGAACAGACATTATTTCCCCGTAGTCATAATGCACAAAGGCAGGGCCGCCAGCTTCAATTGGGTACGAGACAATAACGTCGCCTTTGCGAACATGTGGACGAGTATACTTTGTTTTCATTGCACTGGCTTCGTTGTACTGATAATTAGGTACTCCACCAGCAACACCTACCATGAATATCAACTGTATGGCGCTGAATGCATCACAGAGATATGTGACGGTTACTGCAGCACTGTACTCTCCAGCCATCCCAACAGAAAGTTGTGTCATTACAACCTTCTTTCCTCTGACGAGTCCAACCTGGTAGTAGTGTGGATCGTTTGGAGTTGTTTTACCATTATATTCTACAGGTGGCGCATCGAACATAAGCAATATTGATTGATATTCGTATTCGTCTGCCGCAACAATTCCTATTGCTGGTTGGAAACCTGGAAACCAAATATAATCCTATTAAACAATGCCAATTTGATTGGACTGAATTCCCTTGACTTGGATTAAAATAGGATCATACATGTACTGAAATATTCATGTTCTTCTATCGTTCCACAAAAAATATATTGACAATTTAGTTGTCTGAACCAAACACACAAAAGAATGTTATTGTCTAGTTTGTTTGAAACGTTTGTTAATTATATATACAATAGATTTACCTTCAGAAATTAGTCCGCGTTGCGTCTCACTAATCTCCTGAACTTGTGTAGAAATTGGATCAGTAGCACTTGCTGTAAAAGATTGGTAAAATGACATCAAGGTCACCAATATGTGTCAAAAAACATTAGAAGGCGAGACCAAAGTTTTCATATGAGCTAATATATTTCCAGTATGTAAATTTCGAAAATTCGTGAAAATGGCTTTACTGTTGTTTTTATGTAAATAGCATTAATCATCATAACCAAAATTAGCCATTATCTAATTTTGTTATAAGATGTGACATTTAATACGAAGATAAACAAGTGACCTTCGAAATATATCTCTTCTGTTTTTGTAGAGGTCTACCGCAACAAAGTATTTATTGTGCAGACCAATTGAGTTATTAAGTCGAACACATTTGTTTTTGAAAAATCCCACCCATTGTATCTACACACAAACTATCACAGTTATTAACCTGGCAGTTTTCAAGGAGAAGTAGAAAATATAAATTTTAACAAAAAATAGAAAAATATTTGCTTAAAATAAAGAACTGAATACACCGTCACAAGCCCAACAAATCTGATAGACATCCACGCAAGTATCGGAGTATTTTGGTTTGTAGTTTTTTAAAGAAAAACGACAAAAATGTTTTCTAAAAATAACTGTTGAAAATATTGTAACGACATAAACAAACTGAAAAATGAAGAACCTGTTATGCAACTTGCAAAATATCAGGTTGGTCGGTTAAATTACTCAAGATCATGCGAGTGCTCAAGTTTATGTCAGCGAATATTCAGCTCCTTGGAAAAGATAAAAAAAAATAATCATTTTCAATTTTGGTCGCCAAAGTAATTGCCCAATCAGAATTACGATTTCTGTAACTTAGTCGAACATATATCTTCATACCAAGTTCCAGTATTGCAATACTAAACATAGTCATAATTAGACCCATTAATTGACTTATTAAGACCTAACATAACAAATATATCTGCATACATCTCACGTAATGGTTTGGACGTGTGTTCGCGTATGTGATTTATTATTTCATAGGAAAATAAATATACATATACAGTTATATTTATGAAGGTACAAGGAATAATTTGCTGGTAAACATTTATAAAACTTTACGACTTCATAGCGAAAAGAAATGTGTAGTTCGTAAATAGGGAGAAAATGTAGTTTGATTACCCTCCACAATTATGGCAATATATGATTTCATTTTAGCCACAATCTAGACAAAAATAAATCATATTCAGATAATTATATTCAAAGTTATTAAAAATGTGGATTTACGAGCGACAATATGTATCTAACAAATGTATATTCGTTGAGTAAAAAAGTATAGTACAACATTATATACGAGTACAGCAATGTCTATGGTGTATTTGCTATACAACAAAATGGCAGATACATATCAAGCTACAACTGAATAGAATAGAACACGCATGTAATATATAAGCAGATCATCTACCAAATCTTTCTCGTGCAAATGATGATGAACTTTGAACCTCCACTCACAATAGTGTTAGATTTAATTACAACTGGCTCCGGAAAGTAGTATATTGAATTGACCCACAAGGTTACGTCATCTAAAAATAATTAAATTGGTTTAGTTACAGTGGTGGCCACGTGTTTAACCTATGCTGTGGGTAAATGCATAATATCCCTCCCAACCTGAAAAAAAACACTTATTTAAATACCTTGCCTTTCTTTTAAACAAGTCACAGCCCCCACTTGTCAGATGTGATTAGAGTTAGTTGGCTATGAATTATAAAGTTTGAATGTATTCGTATAAAATCGGGTAGGAAGATTAAGTTGAAAATAAAAAGTATGTTACTCAAAGTTAGGACATTTCTATTAAATTCAATAATATTAAAATTCAATTTTGTCAATATCAAATAGCAAATACATGAATATTAATTCACACAAAATTAAGAAAAATTCAAAATATTTAAATATTTGAATTAGCTCATTAATTATTTTGAAAGTCAATATAGCACATATATTAACAGATCAAGTAAGTCTCTACCAAGTTTGGTCTCATTCGAACAAGTAGTTCACAAGATATTAAGAAAAAAAAATATGGAAATGAGCTTGTTAATTACGTTGAAACTCCATTGCATAGCACATATAATATATTGACAGATCAAGTCTCTACCAAGTTTGGTCTGATTTGGAAATACAAAAACAAAAGATGATCTGGTATACAAATACAGTTTTCAATTACTTAGCCAATTTTCAGCTTTCTCCCATTTTTCAAAATGTAAGTTGACCTTATTATTTCTTTTTGCAATTTCATATTCAACTTGTCTATTGGAAAGAACAAATATCTTAAACGCCTAATATGACAACATTTTGTTTTTTGTTCTTCATAAATAAATAAACCATTTGAATAAAATTATTGTATGGTTTAACATTTTGTTTTCTGGTGGGTTGTATAATCCAAAAATGATATTTTTGTAGTTGCAGTTTTTGTGTCTAATTACTTCAAACTCTTCTTTCACCCATTCATATAATTCTTGCATAAAATGAGTAGTTCATGTGTATACCAGTATTGCATTGGGCATAAGGCAGTGAACAGCGTGTACTAAAATAACATTGTGGTAAAGCAGTAAAATGCATTGTTCAGAAGAGTAGAATGATTTGTCTACTCACAGGCTTGTTCACGCTCCTTTTCTCTTTCCACTTCAATCTTCAATTCTTCTTGTTTCACCTCTCTATCGAATCCCATTCTAAATCTGACTTTAACTTTTAAAGCTAAATCAAACCGTTCTGCTTTCTCAAGTAATTGCATTAGTTTACCTGGATTAGATTTTGTTAGGTATTCCATTTCACGCAGCTTATCAAACAGGGCCGATGGTCGTTTTTCTTTTTTAAGATCTTCTCTTGCAGCCTTTTTAATACCTTGCCCTATTGCTTCGGTCAAGTCAACCATGGTATTATACTCTAAATCAATGAAGAATATATCGCAAAGGGGGAGTAGAGCGAGTTATCGATCGAAATTATCTAAATCCTCACAGAACAGATATACAACTACCATGTTGCTTGTATGGTACTACATACCATAACACGTTCTGTGTAACCTGCATTTACTGCATAGTTCAATAATATTAAGATCGTGCTGTAACTTGCAAAACTTCTTGGTTACATATGAGACACAGCAGCTTTAATACTCAATTGTTCATTCGTTATTATACATTTATTTGTTCGATTCAAATCACATATGTAACATATTTCTTTGTAATATAAGTTAAATTGCCGATTGGCAGTCATTCACAAGTTGATTTTAATGAACCAATTCACAGACAATGTTTTACATACCTTTTTCGCCAATTTCCTTTGCCAAATCGGTTAAATAAAAGATGAAATAGTCGGATCCACTTGCCATGGATTATAGCTAATATAAACTGATATTTATTATAATGACTAGCACAACTGCTATCTAAAATAAATAAATAAATAAATGAGAAGAACAAAAAACAAATTTAGAGTCATATTCCATAATTTTGCTGTCTCAAATGTTAAACACCTGTGATTTTGAAATGTTGATGCTGTGTTTCACGTGTTGCAATGGCGACATAAAACATTCGCAAAATAAATTGAATACATTGTTGTATTATACAATATAAATACATATGGAGTTTAATTTACATCTATACAAATGACCAAACTTATGCTTTGTCATTTTCGTGGAGAATACAGTGCATACAACGTTACTATGAATTTACCATTTTAATGCATCTAATTTTTGAGGACTTCTATCTGAGTACGTGGTAGCAGAGTCGTTAGAGAATCTGTCTGTTGTGATTGATGTTGTGATTTAGAACTCGGCCTTGACTAACTGTTTTCAATAGTTGATGACAAATTTTTCACAACTCAAACCATTGCACCTTACTAAAATACTGCTCTGAGTTTTGGTTAAGCTTTACAAGTGATGTACAGTTAAGCAGCTAATATATGTATTTACTCTCATATAATGACGACATTGTATTAGATATTGTTTAATGTTTTGATTTTTGCTACATTAAATAAACACATTCGCTGGACTATATAATATACCGAATATAAATAATATAGTATATCACAAAGATATCCCATTATTCTATGACATTTGTTCTCTGGACAATCGCCCCGGACAAACGCCCAAGTTGGACATTCGCCCAGAACATTTCCTCTCGAAACAAAACATTCCCAGATCCAAAATCCCCGTACATGTAGCCATCCGGAATTTGAATTCAAGTCTCTTACAAAATACCATTAATTCACGAGTTACCTGTTTTGAATAAGACAGTCACTCTTTGTACAATGGAAGATTTGTTCACATAAAAATGCAAGTGAGAAAAAAAACACAGTGCTGCAAACATGACTTCTAAGTGTTAAATCTTATTGTATTTTCCACAGTTTTAATTGAGTGACTGGACGTAATTGTTGATCAAACTACGAGTGGACCAGTTGCAGAAGCAAATGAACGGCAATACGGTAATGAAAACGATCTATAACAACATCATGCTTCCGGACTCACATTCGATTATTGAATTTCAGCATTGGACTAAAATTTAAATCGTTATTTCAATTTGCATAGTGAAACAAAAGTAACTTTTTAATTATGAAATTATGGTACAATTCACCCCTCCGCAATTTAAGATTGTATTATCTAATGCTTAGTTTTTCCTCCTTGTTGTTCGGCTACTTATGGGTAGAAACGACTCTATGCCAACAGACCTGCAGACAATGACCACAGTATCTATAGCTCACGCAATTTTAATTATCGTAATAAATATGTACCTTACACAAACAGTGTATGAATATAGATTAGTTTAATATTATCATGCAAGTTTGTCAGACAATTTACACAATAAGTGCGTAGTGCTAAAGAATTATTACACTGAACTTTATACTATGTTGTTAGTCAGTACAAAGTTAATATAAAGCAACAGCCATTTTTTGATTGTCACGCCACTTAAGACAAACGTTTTCATTAGTAACGGATCCTTGATTAAGCCACTGTCTCTAGTACACTACAGCAACCATATATACCAAATTACTCTAAATAAATTGTACAATGTAGAAACGAGGGTAACATTGCGGGCTAGGATCTGCAGAATGAAAAATTTGGCATATACAAATACAAATTATGATAAGACACCGTGAACAAAAATTCCACTAGTCGCACGTTTTCTGCCACTCCCATGATTACAAAGGCTTGTTTTACAGTTTTGGACTGTTTACATGATAATCTGGACGCAAATTACGAGTGGATCAGCTCTGGAAAATTTATGCAAATGGACGACAAAGGGTTATTACAGTTTGTACAACTGCATAGAAGACCAAAATTACCGCACTGAGCCTTATACTAGGTTATATGTTAGCCTTTTTTTCTGGTTGCCACGCAACAAACATTGTCTTCAGTGCACTACTATATACATAATGCAACCTTCAACTTTGATACATTTAGCCTTTTGATTATGAACCAGCTTAATATAAACGGTACAATTCACCTTTCTACAATTGAACTTAAGGGTCGCGATTCTCAAATACTCACCAATGATGTGGAAAATATACTGTTTTGTTGTTCATCTACTTATGTAATGTAATAGGAAAACTTCCTTAGGAAATCGGCTGGGTAGAAACGACTCGACGCCAACGGGCCTGGAAATACTGATCTCGTTGTCTACAGTTTAGTCAATCGTAACTCCCGTAATCAGTGACGTACAATGTGTCAAAGGTTTCAGGTCAGGTCACCTTGTCTGGCAATAATCTACGTTATCATACTAAGCATCGTTTTGCATAACAACACAACTATTTATGGTTTCAGGTGAAGCTACCTCAACATCGGATTGACAAAATCAAACACTATGCCGATTTGTATGACGCTATAAATTTGTCATAAATTTTCACACATCTGCATTTCAATCAGTTTTTGTGCACTAAATTAAATTTCCATTTGAGAAAAGAGACCAACATATTGGCACGGTGGGTTTTGCGTGACTTCTAACTTTTAAGTGATTTATAATTAAACACATTAAGTGTTTTTCTTAAAATTGTTTCAAACAATGCGATATTTGAATCAGATATACGATGTAAAATATTATTGTTGTTCTAAACTAACGCGCATGTAATGAGAAGACGAAAATATGACCACAAACGAATTCAACTGCAATTTCCTGTTAAATTCTGTAACATTTCTATGATTTTATTCGGTAACTCAGATCTTTCTGGGTGATGTCGGCATGGATGTAATGTGGCATTGAATTCTCTGGTCCTTTAAATTCATGAACTTGAGTTTAATCAGTTATCCCGCACATAAAGAAATGAATGGAGGCTGCTGCAAATATCAATGTAGTACTACCGACGATGGCTTTATCAATTACACTTTCCACACGCTTCGTAACGGAGTAACAATATCATAATACCTTCAGGTATGTTTAGGAATATCCTCAGAATATCAAAAAAGAGTTCATTTGATTCAAGTTGTTATTGCCTTTTCAACGAATATGCCACCTGCCTAGCACTTCCGATAGTATACATCAATCATGAATAAGCGTGCGCACGACATAAGTTACGAGGTACTTGAACGCAACATACATTAATGTCAACCGTCGTTTACGAAAGGTATCCCAAAATATTTGCAAAGAAGTAGCAAACTAATTTTATGTTCAATATTTGTTTTCATATTGTATTTATAATTACATTTCTAAATAACAATTGAATGGTTATGTATTATTAGAGGCTTAGAGGAGCTCGTTTAGGCGCAAATTTGCACAGGTGCGTAGTAATCACCATATTGGAATTCAACCCGAGGCTCCGCCAATAAAATAAAAGCTGTAAAAAATTGAATCTAATGATTGCCTGTTTAGCTCAGCGTCATCCAGCTTACTAACTCGAACATTGATAACAACTCCAGCATGTTTAATTCCATCGGTTATTAAACTTGTGACAGGTACATGGTATGCACACTCGCAAAATACTAAAATCGGTAAATTTATCACAGTATGACTTACTGACAAATTTGACGTGTGTGAGCATTTTTTTCCAATAAATACAGTCGATAATAAGTATTGTGTCTATTAAAGATACATACCGTAGACGGCATGCAAAAATGTCCTGTATATAATCGGGTGTGTTGAAACATTGCATGTTTGTTTGTTTGTTTTCTGAAGTGGCTCAAAATAAAACAGTTTCAAAGGAAAGTGCTTTAGTTACTCGTATGACTGTTTGTTCATGTCATATACGTAAGCACTTATGAAACAAGCATAATCGCATGTTTTACCTTGAAACATTACATGTGTGTTTGTTTTAAGAAGTGCTGCAAGACAAAACAATTTGTAAGAAAAGTGTTTAGTTACACTGATGACATTGTGTACATGTCGTATACATAAACACTTATGAAACATACATAGTCGAATGTTTTACTTTGAAACATTACATGTGTGTTTGTTTTAAGAAGTACTTCAAAAAAAAACAATTTGTAAGAAAAGTGTTTAGTTACACTGATGAAATTTGTACATGTCGTATACATAAACACTCACGAAACATGCATAGTCGAGTGTTTTACCTTGAAACATTACATGTGTGTTTGTTTTAGAAAGTGCTTTATGTTGAAACAATTTAACAATTTGGAAGAAAATTGTTTTAGTTTTTTACTCTCATGAACACAAATGTGTATTATACATTAACACCTTGAAAACATTTATAGTTAATATAATGTTTACTCACGAGTTCCGAAACTTTTCACTCAATTTTGCATAAAGGTGGATGCATTAGTCCTTAAATGTTCTATCAATAAACACTTTAATTACACTTTAATGTCACCGTAAAAGTGTTTTTGTGTGTTTACAATGTGCTTAATGTTCACCAAAAGTGCTTTAATAACTCCCTAAAATACTTTTCTAAAAATACTAAAACACTACTGACTGTTTTGATAGAAAATAGTGTTTTATTATATA